AGATGCCCAGACCTAACCACATGCTGTTGTGCTGCAGGCAGAGGCAGATGTTGTCCTGCATGTTTTTAGAACGATACCGCCCATGTGGACATCTGTGCTTGGTATGGAAGGAAGCAAGAGGTATTTGCACATGCATGTCAAGCTGGAGAAAAGACCACTTGAATTTACATGGGGTCATAACAGTGTACAAATCACTGAATGCCTGCATCAAGGTCTAAAAGAGAGATACATGTTGAACAGCTGAAAACCTATCTAGAAATCATGTGCACATTGCCTGGATGTAGATATCTCTGTCTAGTATTTTACACGGAAGATGTATATGCTGCACTGTCACACAGAATCGCCCACTTCATGTATACTGCAGAAAGTGGTGATGGCAAAGAAAATATCGCTCTCATTCTGCACATCTTCTTCACTGTCTAGATCCACTAGTTGTATTTTTGTTTGCATTCTGAAATAGCAGAAAACTGGGAGAGGGGCGGGGGGAAACAAAAAGCTAAATAAATATTTAATGTATCAGCACCTGTCATATAGTTTCTGTGCACCACCACTATCGATTTCCTGGTAGTTCTCCTTCCCTACCCAACTTCATTAAAGAATAAAAGTAAAGTAATAAGTCATTTCACACTCTGTCTGACCATTATACAATAATAGCAAGATTTCATGCAAGGGTACAACATTATGCCCATCTGCAATCACAGTCTCTTTGCAAAAATCTCAATTCACACTTCACATGCAGCTAACCTTGTTACCATTCCCTTCCTAAATCCATCAGTCTTGCAGCTGCACGTCTTCACAGCCCAACATCTTAAAATTCATCACTTTGACACCCTCGCATCCCTACAGGTCAAGCTAAAGAAGCCAACCAAGAATAATTAAGGGGTACCCCAGATGTTTAGTTTACTTCTAGCCAACCTTTCCCAGAACCGGGTAGAGCTCTCTCTCCGTATGCTAAAGATCCACGAGGTGCTTGTTTTAAAGGGATGAGACCTCCAACAAATTTCAGAGCTCTCCCCCCCACCTTTTTTTTTTTTTTTTTTTTTTTTTTTTTTTACAAGTATAGCTCTTTGTAGTTGGAATTTGAACAAGAAGCGTGATAATGAGTAGGTTCTGGGAAGGAAAGGTGTTATCTCATTAAGGTAATTACTAAGACATCCCCACCATTACCTCGGTTTGAAAATGTGGCAATTAAAGCACCCTACATGGGCTCCCAGAGACAAGGGAACACGACAGCCTCGGACAACTTTGGCGTACCCGGGCTGGGAGGGAGGGAAGCGGAGCTGCCTCCCGCTCCCCCTCCCACCGCCGGAACGCCGGTCCCGCGGGGCACGGCCGGGACAGCGAGGGGGGGCGGGCCGGGCCCGCGGCTGCGCCCCCGGCAGAGCGCGGATCCCCGCCGGGGCGGGGGCGGCGGTGGCGGGGGGGGAGCCCCGGGGGTCCTGGCGCGCCCTGCATCCATCACTGGCAGCACAAAGCGGCTCACTTGGGTTCCTTTGAAATCCGGTAATTTCGAGGACCGGCGTTTGTGGCGCTTCCATTAATAGAAGCGGCTTGTGAAAAATAGGGCATATGAATATGGAAACGGCGTTTTAATGTGATGGGCGCTCCGCTGGACCGGCTCTCTGGCTAGAAATACGCCGAGACAGACACCGGCTCCGACTGCCCCACGACCCCTTCGACGACAGGAGCAGCCCGAGGAAGGGACGAAGTTCCGGGGCTTTTTCGCTAAACGGGGGCACGGGGGAGCGGCGCCACTGGGGGCCACCCCCCCGCCCGCCGCCCCGCGCCGGTCCCGGGGCGTCTCCGGCCTCATCAGCTGTCCCCCCCCAGGGACCGTGGGGGGCATTTCGATGCTGTCCCCGAAACAGAGCTGGCGGCTCTTCCCGCGGGACGAGGGCTAGGTTTGCTGTGCCCCCCTTTCCTCGCAAACGGGGCTGCACGTTAAAGTGGCTGCTAGGAAAGAAACCCGGTGGTGTCACCAGCGGCGGGAAACGTGGGTTTAGCAGCAGGACGGAATAGAGGGAGTGAAAAAGCCGTGTAATTCCAACCTGAAACGGTTATTCGTCGCCCATCCCCGCTACCACTGGGCTGGGGATATTTCTAACATTACGAAGGGGGTTACCCTTTCCACAGGTGAGCTCAGCCTGGCTGCACTCACTCCACGCCCTGGGCTGGAGCCAAGTTATTCGCGTGGGCTGCAATAAGGATATAGGGAGACTTACAGCGTGTATTCGCACAGAATCGTCGTGTGAATTTGGAGGAAGATAAACTCTGGAAAAGGAGAAAATACCAAAAGTTACAAGCCCACCCGCACAAAATACACTAAAAGCTGTAGGAGCGATAGGCAGCGCCGGAGCGCTGATACGGCATTATGCGCGGGCTGCGTTGGTCCGTGTAAACGCAACCTGGGTAACGGGGACGGCAGAGAGCTCCGCTCGGTGCTGCTCGCTAGTTCCCAGCGGCTGAGCCGGACTCACTTGCCCGGCTGGGAGGGCGCATTCAGCTTCCGAAGCACCCAGCTGCCACGCTGGCGCCAGGGCAAGCACCCTCGGAGCAAAAGACGATGCTCATCCCTATGTCCCAGCCCAGAGAAGTCCCCCTTCTCACTTTCTGCTCTAATGATGGCCAAGCTAATCCCGCGAGAGGGCGGAGTAATTAAACAAGATCCTGCTGCATCCCACAAGAGAGCCCTTCAGCCAAGAGCAGCGGAGCAGCCTACCCGCGGCTCTGCTACCGGGAGAGCTCAGCCAGGAGCCGGAGGCTGCAACGAGTCGCCAAAATCTGCCTGAACGTAGCAGGAGCTCCCCGAAGGAACCTCCCGTGTCGCGCCCACCTGCAAAACACATAGCCACGACCCAGCAGAAACAAACCGAGTGGGAACCGGGGACGGCTCCAGCGGCCGCGCCGGTGTCAATCCGAAGCGAACAGGGGCGGGAGCGAAGCAGCCCCGTCCCGCTTCCCGCCCCTCCGGCTGGTAACACTCAAACACCCGGGACAAAGTCCTCGGGACGTGGCCCCGGCTCCGTGCTCTCGGGACCAAAGGGCTGGGCCCAGGACAGGGGCTTTCTCCCGGGCGGTGGGTGGCGAAAAGACGGGCCGGGCGGTGTCTCGGGAAGCCAGAACCCGTCTCAGCCTCCTCCATCTTCATCCCCGCCTTGCCAGTAAGAGCCGGGGAAGGGAGCCGCGCAGTTCCCGCGGCCGGAGGGCTCCCCTTGCTGCACGGGCCGGGCCGTGGCCGGGGGTCCCGCGGGGGTCCCGGCGCGGCGGGAGGGGTCGCGGGGCTCCCGCGGCAGGAGCTGTCCGTGGTGCTGAGGGCGGGCGGGGCCGGGGCCGCTCCGCTCCCCGCGGGCACCGCCTGCCGCGGGGAGAGCGAACACCCCCGGCTACCCGGCAGGCTACCGCGCCCCGCCGCTTACACACCGCACTTACACAGCCTCACGGTTCGTTTCCCCAACAGCCAAGTCTTCCCCGGCGGGCGCCGGCATTTCCCGCCGTTTAAGGCTAAGAGAGCCCGTTCATCTGGCAACAGATGGGGTTTATTTATTTGCTGACATCTACTTCCAGGGCCGAGAGCAGGTCCCGGCCCGGGCGAGGGAGGAGGCTGGAGAGGGCCCGGGACTGCAGGAACGCAGCAGCTCGGCACCAAGTCTGGGGGCGGCCGCGGCGAAAGCAGCTGTCTGGGGGAGGAAAGGGGACAAACCCCGAGCGGCGGGGCTGGAAGGGCACGGCCGCCGACGGCGCCGAGCCCCGAGTAGTGCCCGGTCCTGCGCCGGGCAGGCGTCCGGCTCTTTGTCCTACCTCAGCGCGCTGAAATGTGCCGCCCGTGGGCCGGGATTTTTTAAAGATAGCAACGGAGTCCTTTCCTGCAAGGCTGCAAGGGCGAGCCGGCCGGTCAGCCTCCGAGGCAGCCTGTCCCCGGGGTCGGATCCTTCCCGGTGCAAGTGGGACAAATGAAGGAGGGCTTATTTTTCCAGCCCCGCTTCCCAAATGGGAAAAGCGGGAGTGAAAGGAAGCGATTCCTGCTCCAAACCACTTTCCAGTTGGGGCTGGAAATACATTTGAGGGGAAGTCACGGTGCCTCGCCCTCTTCCCCCGGCAGACCCTGCTTTAGACACCGTCCAACACGGCACCGGCAGCCCCTTGCCCGGCCGCGCCACCCCCCTCCTCGCTCGCTCTCCTGCCTGCAGGTCCCTGCCCGCCGCGCTCCCAAAGCACCGGGAGCCCCCCCCCCCCCCCCGCCCAGGCAGGCACCCCGCTCCCCGGACCGGCCCTGCTCGGGAGGGGGGGCAGTTGGGGGACACTCATCTATTTTGCATGAACTTTACTTCCTTATTATCACTACTTTTCAGCGAGTTTGTGCAGTCAAAAGCGAGCCCCGATTTATCCATCGGGACAAACAACGAGCTGGGACCAGATTTTCCAGCTGGATCGCCTCCTTTCGGGAGAAAACAGCCCAGGATTCGTTGTTCAGACTCAGGAAAGAGCCCTAACTGATCCCAAATTTCCGACCTCCTTCCCCAGCCCAGATAGGATGCGTTTCCCAAGAAAACCTCGGTGGCGAGGCTGGGTGGGCGGGCTGCTCCGGCTACTCGGGGCCCCGCTCCCGGGTCCTTCCTACCGGGCGTAATTTGGGGGCCACGGCGGAGGCGCGGGGGAATAGTCAGCGGCCGCCACAACACGGGCAGAAAACGAGATGGGCGTTCCCGACCCGCTCCCCTTTTGTTAGATCAAGGCAGAGGTCAATATGGTTTTAACGCGAATTTATTAGCAGAGAAATCAGCAAGACGCTCGCTAATTAGCAAAGCCCAAATAAACGTGCCCGGAGGCTTCTCTTTTTCTTTTTTCTTTTTTTGTTGTTTTTTTTTTTTTTTCCTTCTATCTCAAAAGAAAGGGAACCCACGAGCAAAAATAGAGAGGGGAAAAAAAAAAAAAAAAAAAAAGAAGAAAGCAAACCCTCAGAGAAGAAGAGAATATTCTCAGAGAAGAAGAGAATATTGGACTTTATGAATGTTTTATAGGTAATTGCTGTATAACTTTCTAATTTCGCAGAGGGGTGTTCACCTCCAAAGGCTGGGGCCAGAGTCGTCCCCGGAGCCCGGTGGAGGGTCACAGCCCCCAACCCCGACCCGCGCCCCCTCTGCCCCCGCGGGACCCGGCAGCCCGGGCCGGCCCGGGGAAGGGAAACTGCTGCCGGGGGAAGGGGGGGGGGGCAGCAGTAAAGATCAAAGTCCGGGCGGTTCTCGGGGGCTCCGTGTCTGCCGGGACCCCCCTGCCCTCCCTGCCTGTTTCCCCTCTTTACTCACCCCGGCCACCGGCGCTCGCTGCCTGTCCCAGCTCGGTGCAGAGACAGCGGCCGGTCCAGGGCCACGGCCCCGCCGGGCCCGCCACCCGGGCCGGGGCCTCCCGCCGCGCCGCAACCTCGCCCGCCGCCGACCCGGGAACCCGCCGCCGCCCTGCCCAGGTGCTTAAAATAACGGCGAGGGGCACGACCCAGGCGTGCGGATTTGTTTTTCCTTTGAAATACTGTCAGGGAAAAATCGCGCCGGTTATGAAACCACGAGCATAAACTTAACGATTAAAAAGAAAAAAAATAAAAAAGTGGCATTTGCCTTTTCTAGTCCGAATTTCTTGCGTTCTCGTCACGGGGAAAATTAGCTACCTTGAATTTCCACGTTTGTTAAAAAAAGATAAAGTTTATTTCTTTTTTGTGTTGTTCCTTTTTTTTTTTTCCCCCTGTAATTTTTCAGTCACAAAAAAAATCTATATTTTGTCATCTAAGCATTTATTTTACTGAATCCAAAAAGACATGAAAAGGGAGAGGGGAGAATCACGTTCGTTCGTTTTAAACTAACGTATAGAAGTGATTTTTTTTTTTTTCCTTTTTTGGACGACATATAATAAATATGATATAGCACTCAGCACTCGGTCTGTACAATTCTGTTCGCATTAGGGAGCATGCCACTTTTCAATAAGAAAAAAAAAGGTCATGAGAAAAATCAGTGCAAAGTTCTCCGTTCCCCCGGTCTTCTCCGCCGGGCGGGGGTCGAGGCGCTCTCATTCCCTCTGTCCTCCGCAGCCGTTAGTCTCTCCGGCGGGCTCGGGCTCCCTCTCTCTCTCCTTCTCCTCCTCCCCCTCCGTCCCGCTCTCTCTCTGAGCTCCAAGTCCTGCCTCGCAGGAGCCGAGGTCGGCGGGTCGCCCCGCGGCTCTGCCCGCATTCCCCCGCGTGTGGTCGTTTCACTTACGGGCTCGGCTCTGGGTTCACGGTTCAAGAGTCCCTGCTCTGACTGATCGCCTCCCTCGGTGGCCGGTGGCTGCCTGCAGAAGCTCCTGCCCCTCGGCTTCCCCTCGCTTCCTCCTCTGCGGTGCTGGGGCTTGTTTGGGGACGGGGAGGGGAAGGGCTCGTTGCGGGGACAGCGGTGCCGCTTCACCGGGGGTGCGGGGTGCCGGGCATGGGGTTGGCCAGGGGGTTGAGGGCCGGCTGCCCGCCGGGCCCCAGCCCGTGGATCAGCACCCGCGGCACCAGCGGCCGCTGGAGCTGGGGGTGCGGCGCGGGGGGAGTCCGGTACATGCTGCTGTACATGGCCGCGGCCGCCGCGGCCGCCGTCGTGCTGTCCATGCTGCCCAGCAGGCTGGGGTGGTAGAAATAGGGCGAAGGGAACATCCTCTGCAGGGCCGAGTAGTTCCCGGCCTCGGCCAGCAGCTCCAGGCCCACCGCCGTCTGCCGCTTCCACTTCGTCCTGCCGGGGGAGGGGGGAAAAGAGGCGGCTGCAAGGCGGGCGCCGCGACGGGGCACCCGGCCCAGTTCCGCGGGGGTCCGCGGGCGGCCAGACCCCCCTCCCCAGCACGGCCCCCCGCACCACCGGGGCCCCGGCGGGGGGCACCGGCCCTGCGGGCCCGCACACGGCGCGACCCCCCGGCCGTGCCCGGCTCCCCCCCGCCCCCCTCGCCCCCCCCACACATGCACACGGCGACTCCGGCCAAATTAATAACCACGGCATACGGTTAGATCGCAGCGCTCTGACACTAATGGTTTGCGACAGAATTAGGGTGGCTGCAACCGTATGTAATGAGACAGAAAATTACGGCAGCGGTGACAGGGGCCGGACCCCCCAGTCCGCCGCCGGGGAGGGCGCGGGGCAGCCGCCGGGCTCTCCCTGCATCGCCCCGGGCGCCCACGGGCGGGAGCACAGCGGCGCCTGCCCACCCCCACGACTCTCCGGGAAGCCCCCGGGCCGCCGCCCCGCCGGGGCCCGCCTTACCTCCGGTTCTGGTACCAGGTTTTCACCTGCGTGTCGGTGAGGTTGAGGGCGGCGGCCAGGTCCATGCGGTCCTGCACGCTCAGGTACTTCTGCCGCTCGAAGCTGCGCTCCAGCTGGTTGAGCTGGTGGTCGGAGAAGGCGGTGCGCGCCTTCCGCGGCTTCTTGGCCCGCACCGGCGGGCTGTCCCGGCTGCTGCTGATCTCCCGGTCGCCCTCCTCCTTTGTCCCTGCGAGCGAGCCGAGGCGCGGTGAGGGCCGGCGGGACACCGGCTCGGCCCCCGCCCCGCCCCGCCGCGGTTACTGGGCCCCGCCGCCCCCACCCCGGGGGCTGTTCCGGGGCATGGGGGGGAACGGTCAAATACGGGGGGGGCGCGGCGGCGGCGAGCCCGTCCCGGGGACAGCGGGATTTCCACTCTCCACTTGCCAACTACCAGGCTTTCGTTATTTCCTCGTCCTCCCCCCGGCCCGAAATGCCGGGAAATCGGTATGGCAATCCGTCTCCGCTCGGGCCCGGGTTTGTGGCTCTCCTTGATCTTCCCCGCAGGAAGAACAATAATCTCCCTAATTGACCCACTGGGGAGGTTGGTGCACACAAAAATGGCCAGACCAGACTGTACATCTGGTTTGGGCACTCTTATGCTAATGCTAAAAGAGCAAAATAAGCGTCACACCCGGCCATCTCGCTGCTCTTCAGACTGGCAAAAATGACTCAATGGGGCAAAATTAGAAAAATGTGTCCCGTCGCCTCTCGGATGAACTGCCTGCGAGGGAGGGCAACCCCGCCGGAACGGCGGGGAAAATAGCCCCTCTCTCTGCCTCGCCTTTGCTCACTCTTTTCCTTCCTTCCTTCTTTCCTTCCTTCCTTCCTTCCTTCCTTCCTTCCTTCCTTCCCCGTCCTCTCCCCACGCACACATCGCTATTTCTATTTACGATCCCCGCACGGCGCGGGCTTCCCCATCAGCACGAAATCCGTAATTTTAAAAAAAGAATAAAAGACGGAGAAATTAACCTTCCTATCCCGGCGCGGGGAAAACCCGGGTGTTTTGCAAAACGCACAAAGCCTTCCAACCTTCCACCGCCTATCGCGGGCCGATTGTGGGTTTTTAGTATTTTTTTTATTAATTAAAGTTTTTCGTTTATTTGGTATTGTCTGTTGGGAAAGTGGGATTTTTTTTTATCCCCCTCATTTTCATTTTTGATCGAATAAGCAAAAATGAAAAGACTGAAGGCAGTAAGTGGAGCTGAGCCTCCGGTTCTTAGAAAGCCGAAGAATCATTTATGCTCATTTGCATTAAAAATAAATACATTCTGGTTTCCTACGCGATCTCATTGCTCCGGCTATTTCCTTAAAAACCGGCAAGTTAAATAAAAAAGAGGAGGAAAGGTCGACAGAGAGGGAAGAAAAGCGATTTAATTTCCTACCGATCTGAAACCCGCGATAGCGAGGCTCGCCGACCAGCTCCGGCAGAGAGGAGCGCTCCCACCGCAGATTTCCCCCCGATTTTCGTTTCAACGATACGGCCGAGCGCCGCGGCCCCGGTTTTAACGGCGGCCGAGTCGGTGCGGGGCCAGGCCGGGCCGTACTCACCGTGGCATTTGATGTCGCCCTGCGTATCGTCGCGCTTGTCGAGCTTAGCTTTGCCGTCCTCCTGCTCGAGTTTGGGCCTGAAGCTCTCCGGGGCCGCGCTGCCCTCCTGCTTGGGGGTGTGATGGGGAGAGGGGACGCTGGTACTGTAAGGTGCACACGCCGCCAGCGGTTTGCTGTCGCCCAAAATGTCCTTAATTAAAAAAGAAGAGGTGGAAGTCCTAGGGCCGGAGCTGGCCGAGCCCAGCTGGGGCGGCGGCGGCTGCGGGGGCGACGGCTGCAAACTCGGCGGCGGCGGCGGCGGGTGCGGGCCGAGGTGGAGGTGGTGCGGCGGCGGCGGGAGGCTCTCCGCCACCCCCAGGTGCGGCTCGGGGTGCTCCATGCTCACCGAGATGGGCGACGAGGGCGCCGTCCCCACCGTGTCGATCTCCGAGCAGGGGGACGGCGTGGCCTGGCTCCTAAAATCCGCCGGCCGGCCGTCGCCGTGGGAGCGAAAGTCTCCGTTCATGACTCCGGGGCTGCCGGTGCTGCCGCCCGACAGGATCGTGTCTATCCCGAAGCTAGACCCGCTCGGCCCCTCCATGGCGGACCGCTTAGCGCCGCACCCGCATCCCCGCGGGCGGCCGCGGGGGTCGCGCCGGGGGTGGAGGGGCAGGGGAGGGGGGAAGCGGGTTACCCCGACCCGCGCACCGGCGGGGCGGGCGGCACTAACGCGGGGCCCCCGCCGAGCACCGCATCGCCGCCGGGCCGCTTCGCCGCTACTCAACTTTGTTGCGGGAAGTTGCGGGCGCGGAGCGGGGCGGACACCGGCCACTGCGGCGCGCCCGCCCGTGCCCACCGAGCTCCTCTCGGCGGCGGCGACTCCCCCCGTGACGTCACGGCCGCCGCGTTCCCCCCCACCCCGCCGGTTATTATAAACCCGGGCTTTTGCCGCCGCCGCTGCCCGCCCCCATTGGCGGAAGGCCGAGCGGGGGCTGACGCAGCGCGGCCGGCAGCCAATCAGCGGCGGCGGCGGCGGGGACGGGCGCGGGAAGGGGGGGGCGCCCCCCCGCCTCCTCTCCCGTGCCCGCCGCCGCCGCCCCGTCGGGTCCCGGTTCCCCGCCCGCCGGATCGGATCCCCCGGAGAGCATCCTCCGGTGTTCCCGGGACGGTTCCCTGGTTGAATGTCAGAGCAATGGGAAGCTCCTGTGACAAGACGTCGTATTAATCCTGATGAAGCGACGTGTCAACCTAATTAGCAGAGTCATTATAACGGCGGTAATGAATGATTTAGAGTTCTGAGAGTTACATTTTAACACGAACTACCATTTCCAGGCCCCTATGAAGCCCATCCCGACGTCTTCCCCCCTGGCCTCCAGCAGCTCCGGGATCAGATCAGCACCAAAAGCAGCAGCCGTAGCCCCAAACCTCAGGGGCGCAGGGGGACAGAGCAGAGAAATGGGTGCGCAGGGCAAGATTGCGGCAAGATGAGCTCAAGGGGGAATTTTCGGGTGCTGGCGTTCAGCGACGCCAGATGCCTCAGGTGTGGGGCCGCTGGCAGCCCTGCCCCGCACACAACGGCCGCCCCGGTGACGGGAGCCCGTCGCCGGCCTGGGGCGAGGAGCGGGAGAGCGAGGACACGGGGGTCCATTCTAACCCACTCCTCGTCCTGCCTGCCCCGTGTTGGGAGTGCCCTGCTCGGCCCTGCGCCAAGCTACGGAGGGGCGCGGGGGGGAGTATGGGGAGCATAGCGGGGGCGGGGGGCCGCGACGAGCCGGTATCTCGTTGCGCTCGGTGGGTCCGACATGAGACGCCGCGGCCCCGGGGCAGCGGTGCGGGACGAGGGGCCGCGCCCCGGCAGGAGAGAAGCCGATGTGGACGGTGCCGCGGCCTTCGGCTCCGCTTCCGACGGCTTGGGGCCGGCCTTCCCTCGTGGGGGGGAGCCGAGGAGCTTCTGGCTCCTCGCTGATAAAACTCGCGTGGCCTTCCCTGGGATTCCCCAGCCACCCCTGTCACACCCGAAGCGCACCGGCCCCCGCTGGGCACCGAGGCGGGGCACGTCCCGGCCCCACTCCCACACGTTGGAAGAAGCTTTTCGACGGCAGGAAACCCTGCCCGCGGGCAGGCCGCTGCGACCGAGCACCCCCGCTCCGCCCCGACGGCTCCGCGGGCGGCCGTGAGGCGGCCAGGCGTACGGTTTGCCCCGGGGCTGCAGGCGCCAGCGCTACGCCCGGAGGCTGGTGAGGCGGCGGAGCGGCGGGCCTGGCGGAGGTGCAGGGCCGCCCGTGTCCGCTGGGCGGCGGTGGCCGCCGCCCCCCGTGTCCCCGACGGGCTCCCGGCGCGGACGGGGCCGGAGGCAGCGTGGGGATGGCGGCACGGCGGGGTGGGCTCCAGCCAGCACGTCCCTATGGATCGGGGCGCCTGAAGGAACGAGGAGAGGAAAAGGGGACGGGTGAAGAAGGGGGAAAACTGAGGAGCAAAATGAAAGATCGGGAGAGAGGGGAAAAAAATGTTCAAATATCTGCGAATGCATAGGCAGGTTTCCTGCAGCAGGGAAGCAGCCTGCGGCGGTCGTGTTTATCCTGCTGTCTTGGTTTGCAATTTACCAAAAGTATGTCCTAATTATCCCTAGGGGAATGCGTGATCCGGGGTAATATGTTACACTAGCATAATCCTTTAACTCACAATACACTTCCCCATCCTGGAATCGGGATTTAGGGCTTAAAGTCGTGTTCCTGAAGAGTGAACACCTTTCATTTCCTTCCTTCTATTTTTTAATCCTCGACTCCATTGTGCAGAAATATTCTCGGGGAAAGCGGCGGCGAGGCCCGCCCGGAGCCGCCGCTCCACTCCGCGCCCGGCCGGGCCCCGCAGCCCGGCGGCCTCGGCTTCCCCCGCTCCTCCGGCGGGCACCGCCGGCGGGTTCGGGCTCCCGGAGGCCGGATCAGCCCTACGCGGGGGCATTGCACGCAAAAGGCGTCCCACCTCCAGCTGGCATCTTACGCGGGCGCGGAGGGCAGCGGAACTCCCCTTGCACTTGTTGAGGCCGGGGGCGGATGCGGGACAGCTGCGGCCCCGTGTCCCGCAGCCCCTGGCTGGGTGAACCCCCCTTTCCCATCTCATCCCACCCATCTGACTGGGGGCAAAGCCACGGAGCTCTCCTCCCCCCCAAAATAAATAGCCGAATCAAAGCGATGAGCGAAGGTGCCACTCAGAGTCCGACGGGGCCCCGCTCATTAATTAGCATGTGGCTAATTATAGCGGCACTTTGAGCGCTAATCAATGGCCCGATGGAGGCTGGGGGCAGCGAGCGGCAGGGTCGGGGGATCATGTGCCGGGCCGGGGGGTGACAGCTCGCCAGCCGGCCCCTGCCCGGGGGGGCGGCCCCGGCCGAGGCACCAGGAACCGGACCCGAGCTCCGGACAGCGGGGTCCGGTCCCGGGGAGCCCGGAAGGGGCTGGTGCGGAGCCGCAACGAGGGAGACCCCGAGGTGCAGGGCTGCGGGGGACCCTCCGCAAAGCAGCTCGGGGCTGGCAGGGCGCAGCATCTCGGCCCCAGGATGGGTTTCTCCCCACTCGGATTTTGGTGCGCAGTCGAGTTGGTTCAGTGGCGGCCTCGCAGCTCGGGTGGGGGGGGTGGGTGGAGGGGGCGGTGGGGGCTGGGAGGGGCCGAGCCCGTCGTACTGTGAAATTTAACAGTCTGAACATCCCTTTATTAAAAGCTGCTGCTTGACATTTACACTGTGCCAACAGACTCGCCGCCTAATCCAGGCGAAGATATATTGTACCTCGGAGTAATTGGGGCCGTTGCGAGAGACGCTACAGAACGTTTCCCGGTGGGAACAAAACGGCGCGGAGCGAGAGCGACCACGGCCCGCTCGTCCCCGGCCAGCCCCGCCCGGGCGGCGGCTGTCCTCCGCCCTCCGCCTTTCCCTCCGTCAGGGCGGGGGGAAAGGATTAAAAAAAAAAAAAAAAAAAAAAAAAAGGCGAAGAAAGTTAACTTTCTGCTCAAAAAAAAAATAATCTCAACGTTTAGTGCTACTGTTTTTCTTTTGCCAAATGTTTCCCCCGATGCAAGCTGAGGACATGATCAGAAATGCTCAGGGAGCAGAAAGCACATTGATTTCAGCTTGTTCTGTCCGCAGACAGGCCCTGACAAGGTTGTTAGAACAGTTGGGGAGGTCTCTACAATCACTTAATTACCAAAGCTGTCACTCAGGCGGGACGGGACTGGCCGCTCATGTGGCTGCGAGGAGCATTCCACTACTGGGTTTCCTCCTTGATGGATCTGTGCTGATGGCATTGCAAAATAATTATAGTGAATTTTCTGATGTGTGATTTTATACCAAGTTCATGCTTCAGAAAGGTAATCGGAAGGATGAGAAGGGTCAGTGCCATTTCAGATTACCTGAAGTCCAAGCGAAAGGGTAAAAAAAAAAAAAAAAAAAAAAAAAAAAAAAAAAAAGCCGAACCCAGGGAGCAGAGAGGAGGAGGGCTGCGAGGAAGGGGCACAGCGGTGCGATTGAGAATTGCTGAAGGGTATTGCAAGCAATTCGTCAAACTGTGCAAGTGATTTCCTTCCAAGCCAACAAATGGCAGATTGATTTTGTCCAACGTAGGTCTAGCCACAGTTAAAATGATCCAGCGGTTATTACTGCGATTGGCTTTGCAGCTGACAGGCAGTTGTAGGCAGAAGGAGAATAGATCCTGTTTACATGAGACGTGTTCTTAACTGCTGTCAAATGCAGTTAAGTAAATATCATTAGGAAGAAGTGCTGTTAAGAGAGAAAAAAAATGCCAATCCGATAAATATGCTTTTCCTCTTCTCGGATTCCTGCTCTTCTCGGGAAGGCTCTGCAGGGAGGAGCCGGCGCTTTCCCGGCCGGGGGGCTCTTCGCGGGTGTGGGGGGGAATGTCAGGGCCCCGCCTTGACCCCCTCCCAGGGACAGGCGGGCCATGCCAACAGGGCGGCCCCGCACCGGGATCGGGGCGCCTCGGCTTTGTCGGGATAAGGGGAAAAAAAAAAAGGGGGGGGGGGAGGGCGGAGCTGCCCCAGTCGAGGCGCCCTGCGGCGGCGGGACACGCGGGGGCGGCGGCGGGACACGCGGGGGCGGCGGCGGGACACGCGGGGGCGGCGGCGATCCGCACCGCGGGGGCGGCCCCGCTGCCGCCTTCGGGTGTCCGGAGCGGGGCAGGACGGGGGGGGCGATCCCGGCGAGCGCTTCCCAGCCCTGCTCGTCCAGCCCCGTCAAACCTCTGGGTCTCCCCCCCGGCCCGGCCAGGCCCGCCGCAGCCCGGCTCATTCCGCTGCAGCCGCTCCGGGCCGCCCTGTCGGGGCTCCAGCCGGGCCCGAGCAGCGGCCGCGGCGGCGGGAGGAGGCGGGCAGCGCCGTCTGGCCGCGCTCCCGAGGGCTGCCGGCGAGGGACGGGGGCAGGCGGGCAGGGGGCTGCCAGCCCGGCAGCCGGGCGGCGGGGAGCCGTCCGGCAAAACGAGCCAGCCGGCTCTCTCTGAAGCTGGAAAGTCTTTTTTTTTTTTTTTTTTTCCGGCGAAATACATGGTGCCTCACCAGCGAAGAAGCCGGCCACCTGCAGGTTTCTTCTGGAGAGCGTAAAACATACACCGTCTTCGTAAAGCTCGCGAATGTAAAGGACCCTGTCTATTTAAAAGAGATGCTGCATTTTTAAAGTCAAATAGTACAATGTATGTGGCGAATCAAGTAGGTAAACAACTTACATATGGTTGCTGCACTTGAAGGAACCACCGTTCTCATGCACAGCAAATTGAAGAAACAATGGCACTAATGAGCCTTGCAAAATGCAACTGTGAATAATGAAAGACAACACTGCATTTTGCAACAGAAAGAATAAAGGTGAAATAATCAGCTA